CTCCACACTCTGACACACACATGCTCACAGAGCAAGGCCCCAGTGAAAAGTGCAAGGAACAGTGAGAGTTCCTGGGTGTAGCAAAGGTCAGGGCCAGTGGCCTTGATGACTCCTGGGTGGCTTCTGATAGAGAAACATCTCCAATCACAGGGGAGGCAACCTCCAAATGCTTTAAGCATTCTTCAGTTCAATGTGTCCCTCTGTCCAAGTAAGAACCTCTAACAGTGGACAAGTAGACCAGAGCCAAGGTAGTGGTGGTGGTGGTGACAAAGCTTGGATTTTGGATTTGGGTCCAAAGCTAGGAGAAATGTTAAAAACCTTTTTCTGGATTCCTCTGGAATGAACTAGCTAGATCCACCTGTCCCAAGTTCCACTGCTCTTCCGAGGGTGAAGAGGCACCCTGTCTTACCCTAGAAGCTAGCCATTAAAAGAGTAGGCTACATCTAAGGAGGAACACAGGCACCTTTGAGTCTGCAGGTGGGAGCACTGTCTGAGGCTCAACTTGCCTGGGTTAGCATCCCCTGTCCTCATGTTCTCCATATGACACTGGAGGAGCTAAGTCTCTGCAAGATGAAAGGATGTGGACTCCCAGACTCCTGGCAGACAGAGTCCTTTGAGCGCTGAATACCCTTTCCGTGTAGGGAGGAGGTGACTCCCATTGCAGTTTTGCCACCAGTAAGCCCAGGCTAGCAGGAGTCACACTGGGAGGTGCAGGGGGCTAGCCCTAGGCAGCCCTCCATAGGCCTGCCCTGTTCCAGCTCTGAGGACTAGAGAAGCACAAGTTCTTCCCTAATTCTGCCACGGGGAGTAGGCTGGAAGCGGGGAAGGCAGTTCCCAGACAGCCATTGCCCGCCAGCCAGTGGGGTTAGACACTCCCCTTTCCCCACCAAGGTGGGAGGCAGTTGGCGGATGGAACTTGCACAGGACTGGCCTGGTTCCAAGAACCTGGCTCTGAGAAAGGGCTAGGGGCTTTTCTGCCTCCACCCCCAGTCCCCTGGGTTGGACTGGACTGGGAGGTCCAATTGCCTCCATCCCTTAGTTGCCTGTAAACTCTACATCCCACAGCCCCTCACTGCTCTCTCCAGATTGAGTGTCGGGCAGCAGCGGGGCTGGGAAAGAGGTTCAGGCGCTCCCTGGCATCCCTGGGCAGGCACCTCACCCAGTCTGGACTTGTTCCCCCAGGCCAGCTTGTAGCCCTGGGCTCCGATCTCCCAGATCCTCAGACACTGCTGCAGAGAAGGCTTCCTGATGCAGAGAGCTGGCTCGGAAGAGAAGCCGAGGGCCTCTTTCTGGGAGAGAACCAGCTGCATGTGGAAGCCTTGGCGGTACCTCACTGAGCACCCCGCCCACTTAGCAGCCTCCATGTGAAGGGTAGTGGGTGCACCCTAGGGGGTTATGGTCCACCCACAAAGGGCAGCCCAGGACAGTACACTCCTGGGCCCCCAGCACCCCAGTTTAAGCACACAGAGGGCATGCACTCTGAAGTGTCAGGCATGCTCCAAGTGGACCCTCTGAAGCCTCAAGGGTATCTATTCATCTGTGAAGTTCCTGGCTACCTGATGGGCTTTGAGGGACGAGGTGGGAGCTCAACAAGGACTCTCACAGGTGAGTGCTGGTTCTGAGTAGCCATGATCTGAGCCTGCAAATGGGGAAACTAAGGCTCCAGGGGTGGGACTTACTTACCCCAGGAAGTACTAGTCTACACTACAGAGGCAACTGCCCCCCCTTCCCCCAACAATCACATCTCACTCATACCCCACCCTCCCTGCCAGGCTGTGGACCCAAAGGAAAAAGGTCTTCCCACAGTCCCCTCCCCTGCGGAGACCTCATCTCCCTAGGGGCTCCTTCCTCCCCCGGGCACTCTCGGAGGCAAACTAAGGCAGAGACAGGCTGGCTGGTGGACAGTGAAGAAAAGGGTATCCACTGTGAAGACTCAGGATGCCACTCTGACCAGATGTCTTGCTCTGGGCCATCTGTCCCTGAGACCCTCCTGGCACTGTCTGTGTGGGATGCAGGATTGCTCTGTCAGGAGACAGATGGGCCACAAAGAGGGCAGGCAGAGGGGAAGGTTCCTGGCTTCCAGAACCTTCATGGATGGGGCCTGTGATGTTACCAAGTATGCCAGGCCTCTGGTTCCTCCCCCGCCCAAGGAGGAGACATAAAGGATCCAGGTGGAAGGCTGTAGAAAGCTAGTGACCTGCCAGCCCCAGCTAAAAAGGAAGGTGCTTTTTACAGAGCTAAGCTCATCCTCCCCTTCTCTCGGGGGACTGGCCTGGCCTAGCTCTGGCTGTGGCGGAACCTGAAGCCCACAGGCTGGAGCTCAGAGGGACAGATGGCTCAGGAAGGGACTCTGCCCAGGTGGCAGAGTTGCTCCTTCCCTTAGCGAGCACAGGGAGAAGGGGAGATGGCAGTACTGGCTCAGGACATGGGTTCTTCCACAGTAAGCCAGAAGGTGCATGTCTGGTGCATGTCTGCTGGGGGAAGCACAGGACCTCCACCATGGACATGGAGGGTGCCCAGGACAGTTGGGCCCTTGTTTAGGGTGGGGACATGGGTCCTTAATGGAGTTGAGGTTTCCAGGATTTGGAATCTGAGGTCCAGAAGGCATCCTGCCCTCTTCCAATACTGTTAGCCAGGTGACTGCAGTCCCTCTCCCTGGGTCCCAAGGCCAGTGGCTCCTCAAGTATCTGGACAGTGTGGGGGTGAGCTTGCTCTTGGCATTAGACTAGAGGCATGGAGCAGAAAGCCAGCTCAGTGTCACCCAGACTCTCCTGCAGAGCCACTTGCAGCCCTGTTGAAATGTTACACCCTCCCCCAGGGTGGGGAGGACAAGGACAGGCCAATGACCCAGCAGCTGAGCAGCCAGGGTGGGGAGAGAGCGCCCCCCAGTGAGGAGCACAGTCCTGCAGGCCAGGAGGTGGGACCTGCCCTGCCCAATAGGAGGGAGGCAGCACCACTCTTGGCCCTCCAGACAGAGGCTCAGCAGCATTGGGCCTGTGGGACAGATGTATCCTAAGACCCTCATGGTCTGCCTCCCTGGTCCTGTAGGAATAGGACAGGGGCATTCGCTCTACTCTGCCATAGCCCAGCTGATCCTACCCCGCCTTGGCCTCCCGGGGAACTCCCAGGTGGGGCCTTCCCAGGCCACCCACTCCCTTCTGGATATCACCTTTGATAGGAAAATCTCTGTTTCCTTAGTCACCTCATGAAAGGAGAACCCCACCCCAAGCCAGGTCTCAGTTTCATTCTGAAAGGTCAGTGTCATGCTCTCCTGTACACATTTGGTGGGGGTGGGGTGGGGGAGTTCTTGGGGGGTTCCCTGGGCTCCTTGGGGCCCAAGGACTCTCCAGCCAGAGCTCCTGACAGAAGTGGGCCCAGTTCCAGATCTACACCAAGACAACGGGGGTCCACCGGGCCTCCAGCGCCATGGACAGCCTTGGCCATCCCCACACTGCCCAGGATCTGTGGCATTTGAGACAGCTGGCGGGGGTGGGGGGTGGTGCCAAGGAAGGGCCGAGGAGGAAGGCAGGGGCCAGCCAGGACGCTTACACCCTGCCCTTCTATGGACATGATGTGGCAGAGCTGGGTCCGGCACTGGGGACAGCACTGACGTGAGGACACTTATGAGCGCGATGCAGCTGTCACCCAGTTGCCCAGTTCCACGCACCCAGCAGCTTATGACCTCATGGCACTGAGCCGGGGCCGAGTGTCCTCTGACCCTCCTCAGCCCCTCATGCTGCGCATGTCCCTCCCCTGTGAGCTCCCAGAGACCCTCAGGGGAAAGGAAGTCCTGACAGGATGGGCCAGGAACACCCATCCTGATCCAGAGCTTCTGCTTAGCCTCTGACTCCCTTCCTGGCACTCAAGGGTCACCTTAGCTGCCCCCAACGAAATTCCTAGGTGGGATTCACAGTTCGAAGGCTGAAGCATAGCTGACTCTCCTCCTCCCTACCCTTTACACACACTCTGCTCATGGCAATGCCTTTCCTCTCTGATGTCACTGCTAAGGCCTGCAGCCCACACAGCTGCTGGGGCCAGGATCTACTTTGCAAGACAGCCTGAGGCCAAGAGACCCTGCCATGGCTGTACAGTAGGTGTTCACAGCACAGCAGCCAAAAGCATACTCTGAGGACACCCCTCCCGGTAGCCCAGGCAGGAGCTGTGGGCTTTGGGTGTCTAAGCTGGGCCCAGCTCCTCCCTTCAGCACACCTGGGAGCAGTGCCACTGTCCTGCTCTGTGGATGACCTCCAGCCCCACCATGGCCTTCCATCCCCAACTGTCAGAACATCCCCCTAACCCCCACCCCAAGCCCTGCCTGCTCCCAGCTCTTCAGAGACCAACACCCAGGCCTAGGTAGCCCCCCATGGCCTCCTGAAAGGTCTCCTCACAACCCAGGGACCCCAGGCACCAGGTCCCAGACCCACCCTCTGCATTGACCTTATCTCAAGGTGGCTGCTCAGTGGCCCCTCGGAGCCCAGCTGCTCCTGAGCAGGCTGGCACCTTGAATTTCTCTGCCTGGCTCTGGACATGGCGCTCAGCAGACTCTTCTTTAGCAATCCACACACAGCTTCTGCCCGCGGCCCCTCCCACTCCCACCCCAACGACAGCACAGTGCTGGTACTCAGTACAGGCTTCTGCCCCATCCTGACACTCCTGCATCACTCCGGGGCACAGGCAAATTTGGGGGGCAGCCTACTTCCTGAGGCCAGGCCCAGGTGCACAAGCACACTCCCCCCAGCACAGGCCCTGCTCTCCCCACACCCCAACACATACCAGGTGTCCACCCCTCCTGGTCCTAGGCATTGGATTCCATAATCTTCCAAAGTGAGGCCAAGCTCTGCAGAGTCAGATAGAAGAGATATCCACCTTCACGGTGAGAAGGGGGCCCCACGAGGCCTCGCAAGTTCCCCACAGGGCAATTGACCTCTAGGATGAGTGTGCACAGAACAGTGCCCCCCTAGAACCAGACACACAGCCTTGGTGCAGACACAGACACTCACCCAGTGCCCTCCTCCACCAGCAGCTCTTCCTGCTCCTCGGAGCTTGGGGCACTCGGAGCCTCTGCCATGGGCGTCACGTCTGGGCCTGATGCCGTTGGTGTTTCTGCACTGTGGCTCTTGATGCTTCCTCGGCAGGCAGGCTGCAGCCGGCGCCCCCACCCAGCCGGGTTTCACTTCCCCCTTCCGCTGCAGGTTGAGGTTTGGAACCATTGGGGCTTGGGTTGGGGTGTTGTTTTTTAATCTGTTGCTGCAAGAGGAAAAGAAAAAAAATACCCAAAACCCAAACCACCCCTCAGGAAGTGTTAAGCAAGCTACAGGCGTGCCAGCTGAGAGAAAAGGGGTCGAGGGCAGAGGTGGGCTCAAGAGGCTCCTCACAGCTCTGATGCAGGGTGAAGCCAGGCTGGGACACCCCATGCACCTCCTGAGTCCCTGGAGCAGCCCCAAATGCACTGTGAGAAGCAGGTTCTCCCTCCGGAGGAGGAGCTGATCCATGCTCCTAGAGCATCCATGTTAGCATTTCAGCCTCTGGATGGAAGCCTTCACAGAGCCCTGTTCTTCTGCATGTACTTGCAGATGCTGGTAGAATCTGTCCTCAGTGCCCAGGGTCATGGCCCTGAGTGCCCCTGACCAGTCTGTGCTGGACACTGACATCAAGGTGGCTATAGACAAAGCTCCACATTTTGCACCCTGTGTCTTGTCTGGTGCTGTTTTGCATTGTCATGCTTATTTTGTTTTGTTTTGATTTTTTTGGTGCCAGGAATCAAACTCAGGACCTTGCACTTGCCAGGCAGACACTTGTTCCATTGACCTAGATCTCCAGCCCATGTCTTGCTTATTCTGAACTATTGGGTGGCTGCCTTGATTTCCTGCTCCATCCCATATCCTGTTGACTCCATTGTCCTTATCCTCATGATCTAGGCTCTCAAAACCGACCACACAGCCAGCTAATGTCCACAGAATCCTTACAGGATGACCCAGTGGCTCTCCTAGGAACATTGGCAAAATAGAGGCATGGACCAAGGATGAATCCATTCTTTTCTGTCCTCAGCTGCTAGGAGGAGCACAGGGGCTCCAGAGTCAGCACAGGGAGCTGGGCAGATGGAGGTCAGGTTCCAAAATCTGACAGACTGGACCAAGGTGTCCCTGAGCCAGCTAGGGTAGTGAAGGGCAGCAGAGGTTTCCCTGGTGAGAATCTTCAGCCAATGAGAAAGGAGAGAGCAGTGCCATCTTGCCAAGCCGGGCCAGTGGGTGGCCTGAGGAATTTCAGTGAAAGACCTCAAAGGGCCCTTGGCAAACAGGGGCTAGGGAGAGTCTTGGGGTTGGGAGGCACCAAGGTAGGCCTAGCAAACCCACTGGGGAGGCAGTGAGGCCACATCCCCTCCCACATACCACAGAGGGGTAACAGGCCTGGCTCACCCTGCCCCAGCCAGGGGAGGAGGCACTGTGCTCCCCACCCCCACTCCAGCCATCCATCATTTGCCAGGGCCTGATCCAGTTGCCCAAGGTTGCAGGATGAGCTGGCAGGCCTGGCTGGAGGCATGATGAGTGCTGGCTGCCTCCTCCCTTGGAGCTTTCTACACCCTCTTTCCTGGAGCTCTCAAGTCCCCCCTTTGGTGCATGGCTAGGAGCACATCTGGCCTGTGGCAGAGCTCAGGGACCCTGCTGGGCTGCCTCCATCCCAAGACTGTCCTAAGAGGCCCCTAGGGTTCCTGGAGGGAGGGCAGTGGCTGGGTACCTCCTCACCCTGACATGCTTTGCCAGTGGGTCACTGTCTGGGCCCAGCATCTTCAGGACCTGCCTCCAGCCTGTGGTGGTGAGGTCGTCCTAACCTCACAGCTAGAAGAGGAGAAGCAGATGGAGGTCCACGTCTTCTCTGTGCCACCACTCACTGCCTGAAATCTAGGTTGCACAGCTTGAAACCAAGAGGGGCCCTGCTGGGCCCATGGAGCTGGCTCTGCCTGAGTATAAATCCATGGCCTTGTGCTGTGGTCTGAATGCGTCCCCTGAAAGTCCTGAAAGTGTTGAAAATCAGTCCCCAGTGCAGCACTGTTGAGGTGTGGGACCTTCAAGAGGGGATTAGGTCACATCCATGATTCATGGGGTAGCTGGGGATTAAGATTTTAGGAACCGATATGCTCTGCATGTCATAGAGCAATAAGAAGACCCCGCCAGAGGCCAACCCCTGCTTCTGAACCTCCCAGCCTCTAGATTTATGAGCCAAGTAAACCTCTTTACCCAGTTAGGGGTTTGTTTTTGGTTTTTTTGGCTTTTTGTTTTGTTTTGTTTTTTATAGCAACTTAAAACACACCAAGACTTCTTTTACCAGAAGGCCCAGTATGACCTGCCTGAAACACACTTTTGTGTTATTGTTTTGTGGTACTGGGGATTCAACCCAGGGGTGCACTACCATTGAGCTACACCCCAGCCTGTCTTATGTTTTTGTTTTGAGATTGGATCTTGCTAAGTCTTCTAGGCTGGCCTTGAATTTGTTATCCTTTTGCCACATCCTCCCAAGTAGCTGGGATTGTAAGTGCAAATCACCATGGCCCACTTCGTTAATCCCGTCTCAGATGGTAGTTGTTACCCCTTCCAGGCTTCAGTCAGCCCCTGGCCCCCAAAAGAATCCCTTCTTCCCTCTGCTACCCCCTCCTCCCAAGAAGTAGCAGAGCCTGATCCCTCCTGTGATGGGCTAAACAATGTCCTCTAAAATGCATATGCTAAAGTCCTGACCCTAGAACCTAGAATGTGACCTTATTTGGAAATAGAGTCGACACAGATGGAACTAGTGGAGATGAGATCATTGGGGAAGGCCCTGCACCAGTATGACTGGTGTCCTGACAAAAAGGGGAAATCTGGCCACCGAGACACGCAGGGAGAGAGCCGCATGATGGTGCAGGCAAAGGTCAGTGATATTGTTGTGACACGGGGAACTTCAAGGACCTGCAGCAAACACGGAAGCCTGGGGAGGCTGGACAGATACTTTCCCAGCCTGGGAAGGACCAGCTGCTACCCCCTGAAGCACAGGTTTCAGCCCCCAGATTGTGAGAGAGAAATGCCTATGGTATGAGCTAGGCATGGGGACACACACCTGTAACTCCTACATTCTGGAAGGCTGAGGCAGAAGGATTGCAAGCAAGACCGTATCTCAAAAAATAAAGATAAAAATACAGTGTTAGGAATGTAGTTTAGTGTGAAGATATTGGGTTCAATGCCCAGTGCTGAAAAAAAAAAAAAGTCTGTGGTTTAGGCCCCAATCTGCAAATCTGCAATTTATTTTTATGGTGGTTACAGGATGTTACACTATATAACACCAGGTCTGTCCGACAAACAAGACCCTGTGCATGCCAGGGCCACAGGATGGGGACACCCCTTCCTGCCCTCTAGGACTAGCAGGAGTCCTGCCACAGACCCAGCGGAGGATGTGCTGGGGCCTGGATACCCCTACAGGGTGCTGTGGGGGCCAAAAGCAGTCTCCCTTGCCCAGGCTCCTGCCCCTTTCCTTTTCAGCGGATGACTTTCCCACCTCCCGCTTCTCAGAGGATGCAGAAACCACGGCCCTGAGTGTCCTCGGTTCACGTCCAGTGTCTCTCCTGCCTACGTTTACCCCAGGTCTCCCTGCACCCTGGAGGAGGTGAGCTCCCCTGGAGAGGACTCCAGCCCTCCCACATTCTCCCTCCCTCTTTCTTCCTCTTCTCTCTGCACCATTCTAGGGAGCATGCGCTCTAAGGGTCCGCACCTTAAAACAAAAGCCCAGACTTCCATGAAGCGGCAGCCCCTTCCCTCTGCTCCCCTCTGGTCAGCCCTGGGCTTCAGCCCATCTCCACCAGCAACAGCCCAGGGGTAGTGTCTCTGGCCATCACTCACGTGCCATGTGCCACTACGTGCTGTCTGAGAGCCACAGGTGCCCTGCTGGTGGCAGGCTCATCAGAGCAGGCTGAGCTCTCGGAAGCTGAGCATTTCCCCAAGAACCAGACACAACTATGTGTTCAGTTGGAATCATTCACTCACACTCCGAGGATGGCCTGGGGCCAGTGGGTCCTTGTCTCGTCCATCGTCCTGACCCCAGGCTTGATTCAGGGTCCAGTAAGCAGCACACTGACAAGGGTAGGAACAAGTGAGGACTGAGCTGAGGAAGGCTCGGTCAGGAGGAGACTAAGGCAGGCAGAGGCGGAGAGACACAGACAGGTGCCAGGAGGGCAGGATAGCCTAGAGTCTAGGTGAGGACCTCTGGGGACGTCTCTGGAGGATCTTTGCAAAGACAAGACCTTGGCAAAGTCCATGTCTGTTGCTGCCCTCTATGGCTGAGCACAGGTGGGCAAGAGTGGTGGATGGAGGAGATGGAGAGACAAACAGAGCTCCAGGAGGTCCTGAGGAGATAGGACAGCTCTACTTGGTGGGTGAGGGGACAAGGGGACAGTTGCAGCTGGTCCTTTGCAAGTATAAAAGGGGAAGTTTGGGAAGTGACAGCAGGAGGACTCCCATCTCTTAAATGGATTGAGTCAGAATAAAAGGGCCCCAGGGAACTAGTAGGTTCCCTGTGTGCTCCATTTTCTGCCACATGGGGACACAGCAACAAGATACTCTCCTTGAAGCAGACAGCATCCACCTCACATAGAATCTGCCAACACCTTGAATTTGGACTTCCTGACACCCAGAACTGAGAGGAAATGAATTTTTGTTCTTCATAACTGACCCAGCCTCGGTTATTTTGGTATCACAGCAACAAGAGGCTGAAATGGACCCTCTCCAGAGGCCTCTACGCTGTGCAGCCTGGAGCACATGGAGGTGAGCTCTTCACAGAGCAGTGGGGTTCATAGTAGGAACTTCTTCAGGGAGGCTGGGGTCAGAGCCACATGCCTAAGGACAGGTGGGCAATGAGATAGGAGAAGGGGGGTGAGGTAAGCAACGCAGAGTCCAAGACATGGGGACGAGATCAAGGGCATGGCTGAGCCACACAAGGGAGAGGCAGCAGCACATCTGGCTTAGCTATGGTGCTCAGTGACTCTGGCCAAAACACCAGGAGCAGGAGTGCTGGGGGTGACCAGAGGTCCCAGTAGGACCCCAGCCAACAAGTGTGGGGCGGGGCTGTTCACGTGTGTGTCAAGCCATTAAGACTCAGTGTGATAGGCCAAGGGTGTGGGCAGGCCCTACCTGGAGTGAGGAAGCTGAGCCACAGGCCACAAGCACAGGGGAACAGAGCCCTGGGAAGGGCAGGCTGA